CCTTTCTTCTACACTTTCTATTATGTACATAGTCATCAATAAAATGATACATTTAAACAGACTGCAATGTTAAAATGGAATTACAGGTGTACAGATATCAAAACATCACAGATTACAGGATTTGGCTAAAAAAAAAATAACAAACCCAGTTAACAGAAGAGTAATTGTCAGAGCAGATTAAAATTTTGTTTTCTTACACATTATCTTCTTGTTAGTGTTTGTGTATTATTGAGTCTGAACCCTCCAGTTGGCTGATACAGTAACATGGGCAATGGAGGTAGGTGTCAGAATCAGTGAGGACAGGGCAGGCTTCAGAGCTGCTGTGTGTGTGGTCACTCTGAGTTGCAGGCAATTTGATGGTACATAACAACAAACTGCATGAGAGGAGACTGCCCAACTTTCTCCTGTGCAGCACAGGGTGAACTTGAACCACGTGCCTTTGAAATTTCAGTGCAGCTTCTTACCACTAGACTAAGAGAGCTTAATTCCATGAAATAAATTTATTAGAAGCAAATTCTAGAATTTTTCCCTATTACTGTTCTCAATACTTTCTAATGGTACTAGCTGGAGTAATTTGGTATTGAGTAAATTCATTCTAAAGGAAGCAATATGTCTTTTATTAACAGACTATGATGTCTTACAAATTTTCATAAGCATTTATTTGCTATCTGACTGAACATTATTACTGTTGCTATTTTGGCACCAGGGTTGTCACTGCTGATGTCAGATGGATCCTGGCTGAGTGCAAAGAAAACCAGAATATCTATCTGAGTTTTATTGACTATGCAAAGTCATTTGACTGTGTGGATCACAACAAACTACGGCTAACATCGAGAAGAATAGGAAATCCAGAACACTTAATTGTTGTCAAATGAAAACAACACCTAGACTGAGAAGATGCTATCTGAATGGAACAAGGGAATACTGTGTGGTTTAAAATCAGGAAGGGTGTGTGTCAGGGTTGTATATTTTCTCCATACTTATTCAATCTGTATGCTGAGCAAATCATTCAATCAGAAAGGTATAGGATAAAGGATCAATATAAATGAGAATAACATTGAGGAAGTAGAAAAAGGTGGTATTTGGGGATTTGTAATTATTATTTATAAACGAAGTATACAAAATGGCTGAATATAAGCATTCACTTTTATAATAATTTTTGTTGTTCTTATGTGCCATTGAGTCACCTGCAACTCAATGCTACCCTATGACAATAGCTCTGGACTCAGTCTTATCCCGAGCCAATCTTACTGCCTCTGACACATTTATTTCCACTAACCCAGTTACTGTGTCAATCCATGTCATCCAGGGTATTCCTCTCCTGTGCTGTCCTTCCATTCTTCTAAACATGTTATCCTTCCCAAAGGACTGGTCCCTCCTGGTAACATGCCGAAATATGTTAGATGGAGCTTCAAAATTCTTGCCTCCAAGGAACAACGTGGTTCCACCCTCCCTCAGAAACACCTGTCAGTTCTGTTCTCTTGGCAGTTTTCTGGTATGTTCAATGCTCTTCTCTAGCACCACAACTCAAAGGTAGTGATTCTTCTTGTGTTCCTGAGTCACTGTCCAGCTCACTGATGCACGGAAAATACTTGCAAAGACCGTGACCTGGATTAGGCACACCTTAATTTCTAGACTGATAACGTTGCTCTTTGGTACTCTGGAGCTGTCCCTGACAGCAGATTTTCACAATGCAATTAGTCATTTGATTTCCTTACTTCCGGTGCCAAGAGTGTTGATTTGGACACAAGTAAAATGATATTGTTAACAATCTCAATCTCTCCTCCATTTATCATGGTGCTCTCTATTGACCTAGTGAGAATCTTGGTCATGTTTAACTTCAATCCATATTGAAGATTGTGGTTCTTGATGTTCTGCAATAAATGCTTCAGATCCTCTTCAGTTTCAGTGAGCAAAGTTGTGTCATCTGCATAATGCAGGTTGTTCATGAATAATCCTCCAATTCTGATGCCACATTCCTCTGCATGAAGCCCACCCTCCCAAATGAGCTGTTCTGCACAAAGATTGAAAATGTATGGAGACAGGACACATCCCTGATGCACACCTTTCCTGATTTTGAACCATCCAGTGTTTCACTGCTGTTCTGAAGACTTCTTCTTGATCCAAAAATCGGTTTCACATGCGCACAATCCGGTGCTCTGGGATTCCCATTGTTCTTAATATTAGCCAATTTCTTGTGATCCATGCAGTCAAATGCCTTTACATGTTGTTGTTGTTGTTGTTGTTATATGCCGTCAAGTCGCTTGCGACTCATAGCGACCCTATGTACAACAGCCCTAAACTCCGCTCTGTCCTGTGCCAATCGCACTGTCTTTGACACTCCCATCCCAATTATCCCAGTCACTGAATCAATCCACCTCATAGAGGGCCTTCCTCTCCTGCACTGTCCCTCCACCCTCCCAAACATGATGTCCCTCTCCAAGGACCTGTCTCTCCTCACAACATGTCCAAAGTATGTTAGATGGAGCCTCAGAATCCTTGCCTCCAAGGAGCCACCTGGTTTAACCCTTTCCAGGACAAATCTGTTTGTTTTCCTAGCAGTCCATGGTATTCTCAATACTCTTCTCCAGCACCACAGCTCAAAGGCATCAATTCTCCTTCCATCCTCCTTGGTCATTGTCCATGGCCTGTATCAGAAGCACCTTAGTCTCCAGAGAGACACCATTGCTCTTCAGTACTTTGGAGAGGTCCCATAGACAATGAAATACAGATTCCTATGGTACTCTCTGCTTTCAGCCGAGATCCATCTGACAATGTCTACAACATCCCTAGTGCCACAGTCTCTTCTAAACCCAGTTTGCACTTCTGGCTGTTCTCTGTTGATATACTGTTCCAGTCATTTTTGGATATAATCTTCAGCAGGATTTTGCTTGCATGTGATATTTGTGATGTTGTCTGGTAATTTCTGCACTCTGTAGGATCACCTTTGTTTTGAATAGATAAAAATAAATATTGATCTCTTCCAGCCAGTTATCCTCCAGATTTCTCGACACAACCTAATAAGCACATCCAGGGTAGCATCTGTTTGTTGAAATATGTCAATTGGTATTTCATCAGTTTTGGGGGCCTTGTTTTTGCCAATTTCTTCAGAGCAGCCTGAACTTCCTCCTTCATGATCACTGCCTCTTGATAATATGTTGTTTCATGAAATTCATCTGTGTCAGCCAATTCTTTTTGGTAGCGTGACTCTCTCTTGGTACAGTGACTCTGTTTCCTCCCTCCATCTTCTTTTGATGCTTCCTTTATCACTCAATATTATTCCCATAGAATCCTTAAATACTGCTACTCCGGGTTTGAATTTGTTCAGCTCCTTCAGCTTAAGAAATGCCAAGTAAGTTTGGCCCTTTTGATTTTCTGACTCCAGCTCTTCTCACATTTCATTATAATACTTTGCTTAGTTTTCCCAAAATCCACTTTGAAATCTTCTGTTCAACTCCTTAACTTCCTAATTTCTTCTCTTTGCTTTGGCTTCTTGGCGCTTTAGTAAAATATTACTCAGAGTCCCTTCTGACATTAATTTCAGTCTCTTCTTCCTCCTCTCTCTTTATAATGACCTTCTGCATTCAAGGAAGATATTCTTGATATCCTTCCACAACTCATCTGGTCTTTACAATTAGAAAATGTTTATGACAGGGGAGCTCTGATGGCCTAGTGGCAAAGAGCTGCAACTACAATCCCAGAGGCGCACGGTTCGAATCCACCAGATGCTCTGCCGGGGAAGGAGTGGCAGTCTCCTCCAGTACCAGTCAGATCTGATTTGACGGTACAC